GGGCAGCGGCCCCGCACAGCCTCAGGGCCCGCGGCCGGGCTCTGCTGCACTCGCTGCGGCGCGGCTCCCGGGCCATCCGGAGCAGGGTGGCGGCTGTGATCCGGCGATGCCGGGAACACAGAGCCACAGGCGTCAGGGCCCGGAGGCAGTGAAGCCGGCCATAGAGATCAGGAGAGGGAGGGCAGGGAGAACAAGGGAGGGTTAGAGATAGGGGGGACCAAGGGAGGGGTAATAGGAAACACAAGGGAGTTAAGAGGGTGGGTAGAGAGGGAGGGCAGGGAGAACAAGGGAGGGTTAGGAGATAGGGGGGACCAAGGGAGGGGTAACAGGGAACACAAGGGAGTTAAGAGAGTGGGTAGAGAGGGAGGGGAGAAAACTTTAGCTAGCATAGGTAAATAATAAAGTTCTGTAGGTGAAATTAGTGTTCTGATGGCCTAGAGATTAGTTTGACCAGTCTAGGTAAGATGGTTTTGTTGAAATAAAAGGACTGAATTAATAAATACTGAGTGGTTGCTTTTTTCATTGCGCTATAGTCATCGTTCTGGGGGGAGATCCTGAATGCCCAAGCCTTTGGGTTGCTGGGGCGGTGCAGTGTGTGCTGTGTGGGGCAGAGGAGAAAGGCGCTGCCTGCGCCGGGAGGGATGTGGGGACACCAAGTCCTTGTGACTTGTGGCACAAGGAGTTTGTTTGATGCAGGACCCCGTTCTTCCATCCCAGTTCTCCTCCAAGATAGCTGCCTGCTGTAGAGATCATTCTGGGGGATCTCTGAGGGAAGGAGTGCTTGCCTGGCATTGCAAATGGCAGCTTCTCAGCCAGCAGGGACCACCCACACAACTGGGTATCTGAATTAAATCTTCACTACTTGACACACACAGAACAGCTTCTCTCGGGACAGCTACACGCCCCCTCTCCTGGTGCAACCACATGTTCCACTGCCCAAGCCCCATCCGTGTTTGTGTCAGTTTCTCTCCTATTTACACTCCAAACAGCATCAGGTTTTCTCCCACACACATTCAAAACAGCACCAGTTTCTGTGCTCTGGGCATCCCACCCTTGTTCCCATTCATGTTGACGATTCTGGACGATGCCTGTGCACAAAAGATTTGAAAGGCACTTGGGATTGCACATTATTAGTGCAGGCAAAAATCCGTCACCTTCCTTAGGTGCTTTAGGCAACTCCAGATCTTGATTTTCCAGCACCAAGCACAGCCAATTAAACCTGGCAAATACAGGGCGGATTTGCATTTGTATCTGTGCTCCCTGATGGATGTTCTTGGGTTTGGTGGCATTACTTGTGGATCCTGGAAACAGTTTTATCTCAAGCAGGGCCAGAAGGATGTTCTGAGGCCTGAGCTTTTAAAAACACACAAGTCCTGTGCTTGGCGATATCTTGCCCATGTGCAGGGAGCAGTGAGCTCATCCAGGTGAGGCAAACATATCCCTTATGTCCTATTTCTCTCCAACCTTTCTTTTGATTATAAATCTGAGGAACTGGAGGGAAAAAATTCCCCCAGGAAGCAGACACAAGCTGCCCCGGTGCTGTGGGTCCTGCCAGCCCTGGCCTGTGCTGATGGAAGGTGGATGATGCTTTTGTGATTCATCTCTACCTGCAGGAATTTTAATTTTTCACAATCACACGCCTTGATGAGGTTTCTCACCAATTGTATAGATTTTAGAAATCACCAGGTTCCCAAAGTGGGGTATGTTTGGGAGGGAGACGGGGGTTTCCTGGATGATCCAGGCGCTACCTGAAGAATTGAAGCGCTGTCTGGGCAATTCAGGCACTGCCCACAGGATCCAGGCACTTCCCACAGGATCCAGGCAGTGCCCACAGGATCCAGGCTCTGCCCACAGGATCCCAGGCTCTGCCCACAGGATCCAGGCAGTGCCCACAGGATCAAGCCTCTGCTCACAGGATCCAGGCTCTGTCCATAGGATCCAGGCTCTGGACACTCTTCTGCTCTGGAACCAGGCTGGGAGAGCTGGGGGTGTTCACCTGGAGAAGAGAAGGTTGTGGGGAAACCTCAGAGCCCTTTCAAGTGCCTAAAGGGGTTTCAGGAGAGCTGGAGATGGACTTTGGACATGGGCTTCGAGTGACATACAAGGAGGAATGGCTTTAAGGTGAATGAAGGTCGATTTAGGATGGATCCTTGTCCTGGTGTGTGCAGGTGCAGATCTTTGAGTGCTGGGCAGCACCTCAGGAGGCTGAGGAGCACCGTGACTCCTGGGCTGGGCCTGGAGCGCAGGTGGCAGCAGCAGAGAGCTGGGAAGCAGCCCCGCACAGCCCCAGGGCAGAAGAGGCAGATGCTGACCTGCCCAGCACATCTCCTGCCCCTGCAGCTCCCACAGACACCCAGCCAGCAGCTGCTGCCCTGGTTGGAGCTCCAGAGGATGAGGAGCTGCATGTGAGTGCCACTGCCTGGGCAAAAGGGATGGCAAAGACAGCAGCTTCTGCAGCCTCTGGTGCTCAGGCGGCAGCATCAGAGGGCCGGGCAGCTGCCCCACACAGCCCCTGCTGTCCCCCCAGCCCATTGCCCAGCCAGCAGGAAGATCTCGGGCTGCGGGCAGGTTCAGGAGGGGTGGCACTCCTGGCAGAGCCACGGGCTGAGGAGGGGTCCCGCTCTGAGGAGCTCAGCTTGGGCCCACCCACGGAGTGGGCAGAAGACACAGACCTGGGCAGGAGTGCTGACCAGGAGAGCATCTCAGGGTCCCTCCAGTCTGAGCCACTGCCAGATGACACCGAGCCAAGGAGGATGGCTGGGGAGGAGAATAACTTTGTGCCTCTCCCACGTGAGGCTTGGGTAGAAGACCAAGACCAAAGCCAGAGCAGTGAGGGAGAGAGCTCCTCATGGTCCCTCTCATGGATGTCATCAGAAAAAGACCATGACAGCGAGGAACCGACTCCCTCAGGATTCCTGATAAGTGAGTCAGGGGCAGGGAACTGGGGCTCTAAAGCTTGCACAGCCATAGAGGATGGTGTGGATCAGCCACAGGAAGCTCTGACCTGCCCATATCACATGAAAGCCCCTGTTCTTTCACTTGGGCACAGGCACTGAGGAAGATGCAGAGAGGCATTTCAGGGAACTGGAGGATGCTGTGGGGACCAGTTGGTGGCAGGAAGAGTCGACGAAGTGTGAGAGGCTCAGATTCCAGCCTCTGCAGGGCCTGTGCTCAGCTGCAGCTGTCCCCATGCGGTGGCTGTCCCACTCCAGGAGGGCGCTCTGGGCTCTGTGCAGGGCGTTTGGGACGTCCCTCAGACGCCTCATTCCAGTGCTCCCCTCATAGAGGCCATCCCACCATGGCTCCACGCTGCCAGTGATAGAACACCCATGGAGGCCAAGCAGAACCCAAAGCAAGTCAGGGTTCTTGTCAGAGTAACCCTTCCTATGGCATGGACGCCTTCATGAAGGACCTGCACCAGACAATCGAGTCCACCCTCAGTCATTTGCAGACAACACCAAAGCTCAGTGGCAGTGATGATCTGCTGGAGCTGGGAGGCTCATGACTGAGGTGCCATCGTAGCTGCTGCCTTGAAGAACTTGAGGAGCAGAACTAGAAGAATTAATTGAGATAGATAGGTTAAAATAGGGGTAGATGTTAGAAGAGATTAGTGCTAGGATTTAAGGTAACAGGATAGAGGTCATCTCATGCCTTCTATTCCTGTTTAATTGCTAAATTAAAAATTTGGGCTCAGAATAGGGTGTATCATAAGAAAGCCAAGTGTTTAAGCTAAAGAGCTCTTAATATTTAATATTAGACATTAATATTTAATATTAGACATTAGTTTGTAAAGAAAAGCCACAGGTTTTTTAAAGCTTTTTGTTTCCTATAGTCTTATTCAGCACTTGATCTGGTATGTTCCTTTGGAACATGTTCCTTATGCAATTGAGCTGTAGCTTTTGTTAAGTTAAAACAGGTTAGATATAGATAAGTTACTTTTATTGAAATAAAATGATTGAATTGTTAAATCAGAAGTGCTTGTTGTTTTCATTGTGTTGTGGTCATTGATTTGGGGGGTCTATCCTGAAGGCTGAGGCCTTTTGGTTGCTGGGGCGGTGCAGTGTGTGCTGTGTGGGGCAGAGGAGAAAGGCGCTGCCTGGGCTGGGAGGGATTTGGGGACACCAAGTCCTTGTGACTTGTGGCACAAGGAGTTTGTTTGATGGAAAAGCCCCTTTTTTAGTGTGCATTTCTCCTCCTAGAGAGCTGCCCTAGTGCAGAGATCAGTCTGTGCTAAGGACTTAAGTCACAAAATACCAGAATCCCAGGCTGCTTTGAGTTGAAAAGAACCTTACAGCCCATCCAGTTCTACCTCCTGCCATGGGCAGTGAACTTCCTACTGTCCCAGGCTGATACATCTTTAAGCTTTCAAAATGGAAATATTTCCTTTTTCACAGTTTTGAGATTGGGGTAAGGCATTCTCTGGTAGTTCTAACCCTTCCTGTCTCACCTGGAGCACAATGGTACCCTTCACACACTGTGAACAGGAGCTTCATGAAGATGAAAAACAATCAGAAAATGTTATTGCCCTTTGCATTATTTTCCCAGCTGAGCCATATCTATTAAACCTGCTGTTTGGGACTTCATTTACTCACAATGAGAGTTCTCTCTCCCTTTTGTCAGAGGACTCTCCAGTCTTGCATCCACTGGATTACAAATCTCCCATCTGCTTCCCTGGGACCTGGAATTCTTCTCTGCTTTTATGGAAACTGAAAGAAATCATTACCAAGCAGAATAGGATGGTGTTGTGAAGGAATTAAAGCAGACACATTTGTTTTGATGGATGAAACGGAGGTCTCACTTGAGGAGGGAAACAGTAATCTATCCATAGCTTTAATGCAAAAACCAAGAGCTTTTAAGATAAATTTCACAGGAAACAAATGTGGTTCGAAATAGGAGCCAATCCTTATATTACCACAGGACCAAGCTGCAGAAACGTACCTGGAGAGAGGTATGTATGGCAGCAGGGCAGCTGAGAAGACTGACTTTTTTAGGAAATATTCTGTAATATGCTGGAATTGGATATGAGACAGCAGCTGAAAGAAAGAGCAAAAAATAACAGCTCTTAGCATTGAAATAACTCTGGGATTTTGGCTGCAAGCAAGAGTAAATACTTTTCAAAATTATTATTTTTTTAATTACAGCCTAAGTAAGCCCATCTGAAGCAATTGAGCCTGGTCAAGCTGTAGATTTTTGCTTGGTCCAGTTCCAAACTCCAAGCTGAAGGCAGGTTCCAAACCAAGGTTCAGTTTCACACATTACAAAGTTAAAGAGAATATGCAAAAAGAACCCATGTCATACTGAGCTGCGTGAAAACTACACTATTCCATGGCCTTTGATCAAAATCCAGTGAGGCTCAGAGGTGAGATCTCTATAGAGACAACTGTGAGAGAGGGAGAGATCTATAGAATTCTGTTTAGGATTTCTCTATGAAATGAAATCAAAGGAAATAAAGAACAATAAATATGCCTGACACATCGATGTACTGTATATGAAAATTATCCTGCTCCTGGAGTGGTCTGTTTTGGTTCAATAATTCAGGTTTATTCTTTAGCAGCATGTCCTCAGAAGAAAATCTGTGGTTTAATTTGTGTCTATGCCAGTGCAATTTGCAGAGGACTGTTGTTACACAGAGGGTTTAATTCTTAGATTTTTTTTTTCTTTATCTTTCCCCGTACTATTCTCACTCTCAATTCTCAGGCCCACAAGCTAAAAAAAAAACCACAAATAAACACGATTAGGAAAAGAACAGAAATACTCTTTAACATCTGTTCTTACCCAAACAGGAGAATTTATCTAAGACAAAGGTAAAATAAATTACAATATGTTTCTATTTTCACTTGAGAAAAGGTTTCTGCACTCCCAGTTTCTGCATTTGTTTAGAATTCTCCATATTTGCAAAGAAATCCCTTGCTCTGCATCTCCTTGGAAGTGATTTTTCTCTCTCTTATTCTTTAAAACACCTCCCCTTACACACTCTTTTATTTATTTTTAACTCTTATGTTGAAGGCTTTCATGAAATAACATTTTTCAGCGTAATATAATTAATAATTTAATTTAAAATACTGGTTGTTACTGAGTTACAACATAACTTGTACATTGATTTTCCTTTCAATGCTACTCCAAAATTAAATCCCTGGAATCAGAGACACAAATGTCAAGCAGAAGTATAAGGTGATACCAATAACTATTTTGTCTACAAAGTAAAAAGAATTTTGTTTTGTAGGAATTTCACATCTGCGTAGAACTACTTTGAATTAAAATGTTGATTGCTTTACAAGTAAAATTTTCTCCCTGGGATTGCGGAAAACAAGGCTCTTCATGGAAACTCTTAAGCACACGCACAGAGCATAGCACACAAAAAACCAGCTATGGCACTGCTCTAGGAGTCCCCAGTTCAGTGAAAAATTGTCCAGCTCACACTGTCCAGACTGGAAGGAATATATAGGCACTTACTCTGTGCTTGCACATCTTGAAACCCCAGAAGGATTCTTATATTCTTCAAGATTTTTGCTTTCCCTGTCTAAAATAGATTATTTTCAGTAAATGGATCACATTAGAACTGGTGCCTTAGAAATTAGAGGGTTTATGGTGCTTTGTGAGCTTGCTCCCTCACTCCACAATTGTTCTTCATTATCCCTCAACTCCAGCTGTACCACATTTCTCATAAAACCGGCTGCATGCCCATACTATGAGAAGTGCCCTGGAAATAGCACTCGAGATTCTCTGAAACATCTCCCATAAATTATCTGGAGTCAATGCAATGACTCGTTGCATGTCAATGCAATGACTTCTGAATGCTTGAGAAGGTTGTTCTCCCCTCAGCTCCTCACATCATCACTTTAATGGCAAATTCAGCACAAGAATTAAGTGAGGAGAGTCTTTGCTCCCAGCATTGATGTGGGCAAGCTGGCTCCAAATGCAGCAGGTGTTCCACTGCTTCTCCAGGAGGGTTGTGAAACACAGCACTGAGGAAGGAATAAACAGTGGCCAGGAAAGGGCAGTTTAACATATGTGGGGAAATAATGCCAGTGTTAAAAATAAGTGTGAATAACAGTTCTCTGTGATTCTGTAATTCTGAAGTAAAAAGCATTCTGCTTGTACTTGGAGCAATGATATACAAGATGTCAAACACACATGAGCACTGGGGTGATTGTGGGGCCTTGGTTGATCCTCACTCTGTGACTGTGACACACTACTAAAAATTAAGAGATCAAACTCCCTCCCCACCAAAAAAAACTCAAACCATCTTTTATTGATTTAAAAAGTACAATATTTTTTTTTCTCATTACTGCTTTCCATAGAAAAATCTTTCAAAGCCCAGAACAAAATAGGTGGATGGCTTAAGATTGGAAATCATAGGACAGCATAGTAGTTTGGGATGGAACAGACCTTAAAGCCCACCCAGTGCTACCCCCTGCCATGTGCAGGGACACCTTCCACTAGCCCAGGCTGCTTCAAGCCCCATCCAGCTTGGCTTTGGACAATTCCAGGGATCCAGGGGTGGTCACAGCTTCTCTGGCCACCCTGTGCCAGGGCCTCACTCTCATCACAGGGAATAATATCTAACCTAAATTTCCACTCTTTCAATTTGAACCCATTGCTCCTTGTCCTGTCACTAGAGTACCTGATGACATCTTGTTGTCAGCTAAAAGCTCCATTCAGATTTCCTACACCTGCAAAAAGCCTTATTGAGCTACCAAAATTCCTGTTCAGGAACCCCAAGAACCATTTTATATTGTTTACCCAACTGATGATAAAACAGTAGCGGGTAGGTGGTTATTTGGTAGTTATTTGGGTGTTCACTGGAATCATGGAATCATTAAGGTGGGAAAAGATCTTTAAGATCACCAAATCCATACCTTTGTTCTAGAACCACCCCCATGTTCACCATTAAACCAATTCCCCAAGTGCCAAGGACATGGAATCTGTCCCCATCCCCTGCAGAATGAGTTCAGTTTAATTTTGGAGGCTGTATACTGAATCAAATCAAGTCATGATCATCCCATGCAAGTTTCCCCTTTGCCACCACCTTTCCACTTGAGGTATTTCCACACTTAAGGACTACAAAAGAAATTAATGTTGCAATGGCTCCACTGTATAAAAATGCACGGATTTGACTTTGCATCATCCTTTTGTTTAAAAAGAAATCCATCCCAGAAAGCAGTGCAGCACAAAGGGCACACTGTCTTATTTCCCCTAGAATTTACATGGAATATTAACCAATGAAGAATTTTGATAATTTACGTTCTTGACAAAGGTTGTAACAAGAACAAGAAATGGGGGAAACTAATTCTTCATATGGGAAACAGAGAAATTATAATTCACTGTAATCGCTGCCTTAGATTTTAATTTTCTGGTTCCCTTGGGCTTCACAGTAGGAGAAACTGAAGGACCTCACAGGAGAATTAAAAAGGAATTTATATCAGTGAAAAAATTGACTCATAAATAGTTATAGATTATATTGCAAGTTCTTATCAGACCGGTTAAAACCAAAGCAGAGAGCCTAATTTACCTTGTCAGGGCTTTTTAATAATGATTCTTTCAATTAAAAATCCAATAAATACATAATGGAAAACTTCTATTGTTTTCAATAAACAAAACTGTGGAGAGAGCTGATGGAAAAACAACATGCCATCCAAAATCCTTCTTCCCTCCCATCTGTTTTTTCTCCAGTTTTACTCAGATTGGAGCTAAAAGGCCCAAATAAAAAGCATCACCACCCCATCATTATCCTGTAGAGTCAGGGAAATCTAGATCCCTGTCTCCAGATAACAGGGACAAGGCAGTGTGTCCCTCCCAATGTCCAGCAGCCACAGCACACAAAGCTCATATATTCTGTCTTTTGTTTCCAAAAGTGTGGGGTTTAGTGCTGGGAAGCTCTTGGAATGAGATACCTCCTGTCAGAGCAGCATTTCTGTGCTCACACTGCACAGGTCTCACTCTGCAATCCACAGGTGTGGAAGAAGAAAAGGGAGTGAAAAGAAATCATTGAGACAACATCCAGAGTAAAGACAACAGCTTGGAAATCCTGTATCAGAAAGCCTCAGCTTTGTCACTGTCTTCCCCACAGCAAAGAATCCCACAGCTAGTACCAAAAAGCTGTTAGGGTTGTTCAAACCCCTTTCCCAAACACAGCCTGCAGTTCCGCAGTGGAATGAAGCACCACTCACCTCTAGGAGCACTCCTGTCACTTGTTGCCTCTTAAAGAGCATCTTGGGAGTATTCCAAGGAAATTCAAAGTAGACACATCTAGCTGTGGGCATTTTCAAAAGTGCTTTGCCATGAAATGCTGCTTTGCCCATATCTTAGAGAGCTTGGTTTCATCAGAAAGCAAAAGTAAAAAATAAAAATACAGTAAGGAAGTGATAACTGAGAAAGTACACATTTCTATTTTATTCTTATAAGGAACCAGATTCCTTGACATTTTTAGGAAGAAAGAACTGTATTTTAGTGGAAAAAATTCCATTTATCTATTCTTTAGCAAAAGATGATCAGAGGGATGGAACACCTCTCCTGTGAGGAAAGGCTGAGACACCTGGAATTGTTCAGCCTGAAGAAGAGAAGGGTCTGATAAGAATTTATGAGAACTTGGAGAGGGACTTGGAACAAGGGCCTGGAGAGACAGAAAAACGGGGAATGGCTTCCCACTGCCAGAGGGCAGGGTTAGATGGGATACTGGGAAGGAATTGCTCCCTGTGAGGGTGGGGAGGCCCTGGCACAGGGTGCCCACAGAAGCTGTGGCTGCCCCTGGATCCCTGGAAGTGTCCAAGGCCAGGTTGGACAGGGCTTGGAACAACCTAGTGGAAGGCGTCCCTGCCTGTGGCAGGGAGTGGAACAAGAGATTTAACCCATCCCTTCCGACCCAAACCATTTTGGGATTCTGAAGATAACTTGGCTCTTTCCCTCCACTCAGTTTTCAACACTCATGGAAACAAAAAACCCCAACCCTTGGGAACAGCAAGGGCTTCACAGCGCAGGCTGGATAACACCTCTGCCAACTCAGAGCTGGACATTCCCAATGCAATTAGGAATGGGGCAGCAGGAGAAGCTGACAGGAAAAATACATCCTTAAGGATGCAGGAAGCCATCCTCTCCTCCCTGTCCTTTTCATGACAGTCCATCAGTTTGTCCCTGGCTGAGGACAGACACCTTCTGCACCCATGGCCTGGTGGAAACGAACTCCAGTCAGGAGCACTGGAGAAAATACAGAAAACTCTTATTTCTTGCACAAAGAGAATGAGTATTTTTGGTGGGAAGGCAGATTTCTGGATAAAAACATGCTTTTCTCTCTCATGGTTGAGCTACCTGGGAAAACAGAAAAAAAAAATTAATTCTGTCTTTACTAAATTTTCTTTTGCTTTTGCCTGAGGTTCCTGATGCTACCTCTGCTTTTCCCATGTATTTCTGATAAGCAATGTATTTTTGCAATGTATTTTTTTTTAATGTGGTGGATAAACCCACATTTTGTGAGGTTTCACATGGCATCACACAGCTGAACCCATATTTCTGTACCTTATTACACAGCACCTTATATGCATAAAAAACATGTTTTTCACAGTTTTTTTCCCAGGCATAGCCAGGCTAACTCTGGGGCTTGGGCACAGCAATTCCCTGCAGATTTCTCTGTCTCTCTCAAAAAAACCACAGAGGTCATCTCCCTCTTCCTAGTAAAATCTGCAGCAAATCTTAATTTTCAGCCCGACAGCCCAGCTGAAAAATGTGCTTTCTGCAACATTGTTGTGCTTAAATGATACCAAAAATCAATTGTAATTAAAATAGAAAAAAGAAAAACACCAATACAAAGCTCAAAAAGCAAATTTACACATTTTCCAGAATACTAAGCAATGTCCACAAATGGTCAGTTCTTCACTCAAAAAGTTGTCTGCCCCCAATGCACAGTCAGTGGGTGTTACCTGAGGAGCTGTAGGCAATAAAATATAGTATTTTACTTTTTTGTTCCAGACAGGATTGTTTGCCCTCAGCTGTAGACTTCTATACCCTTCATCCTCCAGGCTAAGTATCAGCACCAAAAACAAGAATGAAACTGCTACACAAGACTTACAAGAATGAGCCTGATTAGGCCATTATTTCTACAGCACCCAGGTAGATGGAATTATTTTCTGTAATGCTTAAAAAACCAGATATTTGCTCATCTTTCAATTTGCATTGATATAAAAATATTTATTTCTTTTTAAGAAAGAAAACTCACCTTATAATTATTTTCCTATTTCAAACAAATCTTTTTATCTAAGGGTGAGCCCAGGTTGTTACTTGAGATTGTTTGCATAAAATCTCATTAGCCTATTGATTCTCCTTCTAACACCTTAGGTAGTACTTCATTACCATGCAAATAGAGACAGGCTTTTTACATGTACATTAATGCAGCACTGATTATTCTCCTTTCATAGTACTGGCAAGAAAGCACCATAATGAAAGTCATCAATAATTGTTCAACAGGTGAAAGAGATTAGAATCAAAGAGACACTTCTTATCAGCAAGAGATTCCTTTTTCCCTCCAAAACACGAATTTGGCTGTTTACCATTCTCAGGGATCTTGCAAGGCTCCCAGTTTCATCTTTTCATCCCACAGACAGCCACAATGCACTGCAGGGTGAAATATTTTGGAATTCAGAGTGAAATCCTGGACCCAAAGGAAGCAGTGGTGCTTCCAGTGCTGCCTTCTTCCTCCAAATCCCAGTTTTGTCATTCCAGCAAGTTCCAGCATCTCTGGGACTGCCCCTGGGACAGAGTTGCAAGTGCAGAAACTCCAGCAGGGAATCTTTGTTGGCAAACAGCCTCTGCTGGAATAGAATCACAGAACCCCGGAACATCCTGAGTGGGAAGGGACCCACAGGGACCATCCAGTCCAGTCCCTGTCCCTGCCCAGACACCCCAGCAATCCCACCCTGTCCATCCCTGGGAGCATTGTCCAAACACTCCTGGAGCTCTGGCAGCCTTGGGGCCGTGTCCATTCCCTGGGGAGCCTGGGCAGCGCCCACCACCCTCTGGGGGAAGAACCTTTCCCTGATCTCTGTCCTGACCCTGCCCTGGCACAGTTTCAGCTATTCCCTGGGTCCTGTTCCTGGGCACAGGGAGCAGAAATTGGAGCTGCCCTTGTGCTGCCCCAAAGGTGGAGATGTCAAAGGTGTACTTACAGGAAGCATAGCCCAAAGGAACCCATGCTCTTCACAAAGAGCTCAGCAGAGTCTTTGGTAAGGAGCAGGACACAAAACAGAGAGAAGAGGAGAACAAAAAAAACCAACAAAGCACGCTGGAAAGGCAGCAAAATACAACTGCAAAAAGCAGTTTTGCATTTTGCAAGATGCAAAAATGTCTTGAGAGGGAGCCCGGCATGAAGCAGGTAACCCTTCATGCTCCACCTGACTGAACAGTGATTTTATTACTGCTTCTTTTGTGTGATTACACCCAGGAGCTGCCATTTCAGACACCACAAATACCATAGACAGAGGCAGGGACTACCCATGGGGTGATATTTGTGCTGAGCCAAAAACCAAAATCTCATCTTCTTCAACTCAGGCTGCATAAAGAAGGAAGGATAGCTGGCTGCAAAACCTGCTGGGGTGATAAGGCAAAACCTACATGTCACCAAGGTCCTCAGGAAGAAAGGCATGCTGATCTCTCTTCCCTATCAGGGAACAGAGGGATGTATACAGGAACAGGACTCAGGGAATGGCGGTAGCTGAGCCAGGGCAGGGCCAGGCTGGAGATCAGGGAAAGGTTCTTCCCCCAGAGGGTGCTGGGCACTGCCCAGGCTCCCCAGGGAATGGACACGGCCCCAAGGCTGCCAGAGCTCCAGGAGTGTTTGGACAATGCTCCCAGGGATGGACAGGGTGGGGTTGTTGGGGTGTCCTGAGCCAGAAGTTGGACTCAATGATGCTTGAGGGTCTCCTCCAGGTCTGAAGATCCTGTGATTCCATGAACCAGGAACAGAGGTATGCACAGAAGAAATACAGGGATGCCATAAAAATGCTGGAAGCAGCCTCTAGTATTTTTCCTTAAGCATAAATGCAGACACAGAGCAGCAGCAGCACTAGAAATGTGGCTGTGAGAGGCAGTAGAAGACACATATTTTGGAACAGAGTGCTAAGTGGGGATAAAAAGAAAAAAAAAAAAAGTGAAAAAACACCTGAGATTTTAAGTGACGGAAACACTTCCTACCTGTTTCTCCCAAAGTTAAGGGCAATGGGGTCTCCCATGTAGGCAGACAGGACTTGACTGTTAAATTTTCCTGCAAAAAAAATGAACCTGTAAAAAAGAAAACATCAAGTAACCAGCCAAATAAAGGAAGGGAAATTTCACTTATATGTGCCTATAGTTTATAATGAATTGGGCCCAATTTCTGTATCAATTGTGAGCTGAAAGCCAGACCTTTGCTATAAATTCAGTTTGATTACTATTGTTGTCTTCCTTTTCAATAGTTTTCCCAAGAGCCAATAGAAAAAAACAAGACTCTATTATCAAAAAGTCCAGCAAGGAGGCAAGGAGGAGGAGGGAATACATGAAATAACAAAAAATGTAGATGTTTTGAGCAGAACCCCCATTAGAAGGAAAGGGTTTTACTCCATAGGCAAATTTTACTCCATTGCCAAGAAATAACAAGTAAAGGAGCAAAAAAATAAATATGTATGAAATTCTGTTCTGTCTTGTCAAAAGCGAAGCAAATTAATTGTGTAAGTATACATGTAATACTAATGATATTATACAGCTCAAGCAAAACCAGCTAATGAATCCCACTGCCTAAAAGAGCCTGCTTCAGTTACCAGCATTCCAGTCACAACTGCCACGATTTCCACTTGTGCTGTCAGAACACAGAAGTGGCTTAAAAGAAAAGGCAAAAGCTCTAGAAATGCATGTATAATATTTACTAATCACTACTAATTCAGAAAGGTTTAGGAATCTGTATGCCTTCAGCTGCCAAATATCATCTGAAATGTTTTAATACACTCCAAGACACTTATTGCCCTTTCACTTGTGAATTTTAGACAGGATTACATTTTCTTGCTTGGTTTCTTTGCACAGAAATTGTGCTCTATGCAAGGAATCAGCATTATGTGATTAACAAGAAACAAACAATACAAATAAACAGTTTAAAATGGGCTGGAGTAACAGGACATGGGGAAATGGTTTCCACTGCCAGAGGGCAGGATTAGATGGAATACTGGGGAGAAATTCTTCCCTTCGAGGGTGGGGAGGCCCTGGCACACGTTGCCCAGAGAAGCTGTGACTTCTCTTGGATCTCTGGAAGTGCCCAAGGCCAGGTTGAACCCTGGGATAGTGGAAGGTGTCCCTGCCCATGACAGGAGGTAGCACTGGATGGGCTTTAAGGTCTCTTCCATCCCAAACCATCCTGAGTTTCTGTGATTCAGTGCATGGTGCTGGTGGCACCCAAACCAATGTGGATAGAAAAGAAATGCCGTATTATTCCTGCCACTATTAAGGAAACAATTCCAATACAATGATACTTATCATCCAAACCAGCCAGAAAACAAAATCTTTAATGGTATTAATGATAACAATGTTTTCATCATTAACAGATCCTGGCACAAGATCATCCAAATTTGCTATGCTGCTAATTCAGAGAGCTGCTGCTAATTCATCCCAGACAACTCTCCATGTTCTCTTTTTTCATGCATTTCAGAAAACAGGAAAAATTAAGTTGATGACAAACACAAACACGGGGTTTACCCCTAAAATCTGTGGGTCTTAAGGGTTTTTGTTTGTTTGTTTGTTTTCTGTTTTTTAAGCACTACAACCCATATATCAAACTTGTGTTTGATGATTCAAGCCCAGAGCAGTATTTTGTGAACCCCACTAGCAAAGGGCTTTACGGATGGGAAGAAAGGAAGAGGGAGCCCATCAGTTCTGAAAGGGTCCTTACAGGATAGGGTCAGTGTCAATAAACAGAAATGCTAACTGGTTCACACTGAATACCAGGGAAGTACATGAAAATGAGCAGCTGGGTCGGTGGGTGAGTGAGTTGTTTCTATTCAAATTCACTTTGAAAGCTGTTAGATTAAATTGGACCATGGCAAATTGTGAGACAATTTGCCTTGCTGCTTAAAAATCTATAGTCTAAGTAAATCTCTCTCAAAGCTTCATCTCTGTTAAACTAAAATAGAAGACTCAGTATTAAAGAGCAAAATTTACCTGTGCTCAGCAGTGATGGACTGTTTTTGCTCAAAAGACATTGCTTAATTAAAAACAAATGGGGTTAATGTGAATTAAAGGTACAAGCTCAAGTGCAATCAACAGTCAAGTCAATGAGAGTGGGGTGACCTTTAAAGGAGAATGTTTTCACTCATTAAACACATTGCTGACTTTTGGGAAAGAAATACAGAGTTTAATAAGAAAAAAGATAAGGAGTTGCTAATGGGCTGTGAGGAGAGGATCTAAAGAAAAACAATCTTACATCTTGCTCTTCTGTGGCAAGTGAGGCAAGGACCTATATTTTTAATGAATATTTTCTGTGCACTTCCATTTATCTTCTCCATATTGTTCTCCCTAAGTATATACAGTTAAATCAAAAGAGACACTCACTAGGGAAAAATAACCCAATAGAGCCTAACAACAACAAAAGTGCTGTTATCCACAGGAACACCACAGCTTCTAAGGAAAAGAGAAAATCAGGGAGCCATTAATTAGAAAATTATTTCCAACCAAGGTGGCAAGGTTTATTTTCATGTGGAAAATGGGAATGTTGCTGTTTATGTCTCTCAGAGGCCTTTAGAGATGCCAGCTGTGAAGAAAGTTAGAAATGCTCAAAAACAAAAGAATTTTTTTCTACACTTCAAGGCACAATGGCAGAAAAATAAACTAATTGCATCCCATCTTCTCCACCAATACATAAACAATGGGATGTTTTTAGGAGTGGGGTGTAAGACAGCAGCCAGCCAGGGCCACCCCAACCCACTTTTTATACGTAAAGACTCTTGAAAGCCTAGGAGCAGTTTTTTTATGAAATTTCAGAGAAATAAGAGTCTTTAGAGAATGCCATTTTGCCAACAGAGCCCCAGTCCTGCTCACTGGGGAATTTCCACTAGGACAGAAAACACAGGCCCATGAGGAAGTTCTCAGGGAATGAATGAGATTATAATTTTATAGCACAGTTACCTGCACAAAACTTACTTCATCTTCACAACTCGCTTGATTGCTTTTCCCATTATTATTGGAAAGTCATTCCAGAACCTCATTTCCTCTATCTGTGAGCAAACTTCTGAAGTCCAGATGGAATTTATGAGCAGGCTATTTGAAACCACTCATTCTTATGCTAACATTTCACTAGAACTTTCTCCATTGATTACTTTTCTCCCTAAAGTGCCTCTCCAGACAAAGTCTATCACCTGTCAACTTTAATTTCACAAGGTGTCATCATATAAAATAGGTCTCTATTTCTTTAGTCAATCTAATAATTTTAGAAAAATATGGGACATTTTGCAAGATAAATGTTGGAGAGCTAGGATTTAACATGAGTAATAGGACTTGGAGTAAAGGAGTGCTTGAAGGCAGGAGGCCTTTCTGTCCTCCATCCCTCCTGCTCCCTTCTCAGAAGTGACACCTCCAAAAGGCACTTTAATGAGCCTGAACTGGGTAATAAAACTTTACAAACACATATCACCTACACACAGAATAAATCAGGAGCTGTCCTCTGTAATAAGCAATTTCCAAGGATTGAAGCACTCAATCCTTTCCTTTCTTTCCAAAACAAGGGTATATTCACATCTTTTTCTCACTCAAAATACAATTTAAGACCCTCTACCAAGGAATAGAAAAGGTTACACAGACTAATTGTGTCACAATTCATTTTCTCAGGAAAGTTCCCAAAATCCCAGACTGAGGATTAAAGGATCTAGCTCAGGTTGGTCCTGCACAGTTCCCAAAGCCAGGAGGAGAACTTGCAGAAGTATTGCTCTGTCTACACACTGCAGGAAGATAATAAAGAGTCCTCAATTTACTTTAGGAAAATAATATGCAAAAAGAAGAATTACTCATTATACAAAGGATTCTGGGAACACCTGCAGGCTCCAGAATACCAGTTAGTTTTGGGCAAGTCACAGATTTTTTATGTCTCTTTTCTGTGTCTTTTCTATGTGTGGTTTCCATAGTTCATGTTTAGGAAAAAAAAAAAACAAACACAACAAACAACAAACCAATTTTTCTGATGTTAGCAAGATCCTGCCTGTGCTAATCCTACAGATGGGATGACACTCTGAGTGAGTGGGAATAGTAAGAAGGGAAGTGCCACCCAATCTGATCTGCTCTGGAAAATCACAAAAGCTTCAGTTAAAGCTAAGCCAGAAAAAAAACCCCACATTTATTGAGTGGTTTGTGGCTACTATAAAAGATTGAAGACAGAAGATGGGCTCATTTAGTATTTCATGAAAGGTCCCATGAGAATTGTGACAAACCAGAAAATCTATTTCTTCCCCATCACCAACACGAGGCCATGCACTCCTTCTCCAGACCAAGGTTATTTGTCTATCCATGTTCTAATTTGCTGATAGACATCACACACTTCCATTCCTTTTCATTCAAAATTAGATAAAAGTTAGGAAATGCACCGGCACACCATGTCCCCACAGAGAGACACTCGGATATTCAATGTCATCTAAAGTCTCCCTGATGTGAGTAGCCCAGACTAATTTATTGCCTCTCCTAGTCTAGACAATATAAACATCATTTACTGTGACCTGTGGTGTGCTGCTTTCCCTTCTGTTTTTCAGACCTGTTTAGTAAGTTTCAGAGAAGCACAAATGCAGAAGTCAGAGACCAAATGACGGAAATTATTTACTGAAACCTGGAGATTCACATCCCTCTTGATTTTAACACAAATGGCAGCTTTCACTGTCTTTAAAAAGGAGACTGAGGAGCTCGGCACTCCGTACCAGCCAGATTTAAAACTCTCTCCAGGCACTTGCATTTCTTCTGAAGTAGCAACGTGAGAAGAAAACTCGAGTCAGGAGCTCCACAGTCAGTGCCAGGACAGGAGGATTTAACACCAACAACCAAAAAGGATAAATGAGCCCCCCAAAACCCCTCTCTGGAGCCAGAGGTGAAAGAAGGAATGTAACAGATGCACTCACTGCCAAAAGGAGACACAAACCTGGCAGGGCAGCTGCTCTGTGCCTGGAACTCAGGGACAATTTAGAGAGCCAAGAAAGCCCAAGCCTTTAAAGCCAAGGTGTCCATTTCCAGCCCGAGCCCTTCATCCCTCAGGTGTTGTGAGAGCATCTACTTCAAGCA